GCAGGTCACACATAGGTACTAAGTTAGTAACCGGGTGAGTCTTATCTGTAATAAATTAGATAGTTGTAAATGTATATATACATTTGTAACCGTAATACCTTAGAGTACTAATAAAAACAGTTAAGGCAAGACTGCCGAATTAAAAAAAAAAAAAAAAAAAAGATATTTTTTAATTGATAGTATTTCTTTTAATTTATGCTAGGCATATATCAAAAGCCTGGATATAAACAAAAATTTATATTGTAATATATGATAAACAAATTAAATTTATAATTTATACCCTTTGTACAAGATTCCTAAATAGTATACTCTCCTATAAATCAAAAAACTCGTGTAGATTATAAGAGATCCTGGGTGAAAAATAGTTACTGTTTAGACTTTTTATAAACTATATTATCAAAGTCTTATTTTATAAAGATGCTTATATATTAGTTTATAAACATTGCAAAATAAAACCTGTATATACAATACAGTACTTTTTTTATTGCTTAACTTAATATTGATATGAATTATAATAAATAATAAACTTGAAAAATTGCATCATTTTCTCTTTTATAGTATACACAAAAACCTGTAAGTATATATATAATACATATTATTTTTTAATAATAAACCTGAAAGACAAAATATAATTTTTTCTTGTGTGTATTAGCTTATAAGTATTACAAAAACAAAAACCTGTAAAAGTATATGTGAATTTGATGTTATTTTATAGTAAAAATTTAAACTTTTGATCTAATTAAATGTTAAAATTGAAAATATAAATTCTCATTTTTCTTTAGCATTGCAAAATAAAAACCTGTATATATTAAATATTACTTTTTAGTGTTGCAAAATAAAATCTGTGTATATATAATATTACTTTTTTATTATTTAAAGATAATATTAATTATAGAAAAATTTTAAAATTCTTATGAGCTAATAAGTATGATAAGCTTGAAAGCACAAAGTACTGTAAAACTTATATGTATTAGCTTATAAGTGCAAGGCAAAAACTTGTAAATGTATATTTCTTAAGCTATAAAGTTTGTGTAATAATTTTAGCCTAAAAATAGCATAAATTTAGTTATAATTTATTTTTTTTAATATTTAAAATATTTAAATAAAATTTCATATAATAATATTTGAAAATAAAGATTATCTTTTTATAGTATTTATATTTATATTATAAGAAAAAAATTTTAAATTATTTATAAGCTAAAAATAAAGTATTTTTTAGTCAAAAAAGTTTTTACTATTTTTTGATGAACTTTTTAAATATTGATTTTAAAAATATAATTCTTAATATAGTATTAAAGGTTAGATTAAGGATTATAACTTTTATTATTCAACTTTTAGTAATTAACTTGTAAAAATTAAGACTTGTATTAGAAGTAAAGATTTTTTTTAACATATAAAATTTAGAAAGTTTAAAAAAAATTTTTATAATAATATTTTTTACTTAGTAAATATATGGCTAAAATTAATATTTAAAATAAAATTTTATTAAAAAATTTAAAAATTAAAAAAATTAGTAAAAATACAGATAAAATTACTTGTATTACAATTTAAGGGATATGTAAAAACAATTTTTTAAAACAAAAATTACTTATTCTAAACTTTTATTACAAATGATCTAGATAATATATATATTGTATATTTTATATTTTAACAAAAATTTGAAAAAAAGAGATATGAAAAGTGCTTTGTTGGCTTTTGCAATAGGTGTAGCCCAAGCCCTACTAAGCCACAAGTATGAAAAATTAATAATAGAAAAAAAGTTATGAAAAACTAAATTGCAAAAAATTTAATAAAAATTTAAAATCAAAGTTTTATAGTTTGCAAAAATTTTCAAATATTTTTACAATATGAACTAGTAGATAGTTTTAGTAGAATAAAAACTAAAATAGATAATTATGACAAACCATAAAATCTAGCCAATAATATGTATATTTAATATCTAAGATAAATAAAAAAAAAGCAAAGAGGCTAATTTTACTTTGGCAGATCACATATAGATACCAATTGGCACCCAGATAAGCCACACTTTAGTTTAAAATAGCATAGCTATAAATAGACTATATTTTCTAAATAACAAATCTATATAAAAAATAAAGTTGCAACATAATCACTAAAAAAAAACTATTAGCAAGTTTTGCTATATAAATTATTAGAGTTGGGCAAATTAGTAGTTAACCAAAAATTTACTAGTCAAATTGGTTTGGTCAAATTAGTTATATGATTAAACTAGTCAAATTGGTCAAATCAATTATATAAATATAATATATATACATTAGCAAAATATATAAACATAATCTTATATAAGTTATTATACTCTGAAAACTTCTACAAGAATTACAAGCGACGGCATATTTCAAAATAACTTTTTTCATAATATTATATAATTTATTTTATAATATTATGCAATTTATTTTGAAATATTTTGAAATATTTTGAAAAAATTTCAAAAGTTTTCAAAATATTTTGAAAATATTTCGAAAGGTTTCAAAATATTTTAAAAAATTTTGAAAGTTTTTAAAAATCATTTCAAAACATTTCAAAATATTTCAAAATAAATTGTGTAATATTTTAAATTTTTATATAAAAAATTATTCAAAAAATATAAAATATACTGCAAATTTTGCAAATATTAGCAATTTAATATATAAAACTATATTTATTTATTGGATAAATTTATTTGTTGCTCTCTGTTATATAACACTTTTGTCACAGATTATATAATATAATACTAACTACTAAATCCTAACCCTAACTAACTACTAAACCCAATTCCAATACTAATTATTAAACTCTAACCCTAACTAACAACTAAACTAATTCTAATACTATCACTAAACCTAACTCTAACTACTAAACCTAACTGCAAAGCACCATTGTACAATGAATCCAATAATTACAACCTGGCACTAAAAAGACTTATAAAAACGATACTAAAAAAGGTGCTACAAAACCCAGTGAATTAAAATGACAGGACCAACAATAAAGAAGTAAAAAATCTCAAAAAAGTACCGAAAATAGTAAAACAAAACTTACTGAAAGTGATGAAACAAAACATGCTACAAAACCTGATGAATTACTAATAAAACCTCAAAAAAACACCAAAAGTGATGAATCGAAATCTACCAAAAGCTACACAATGAAATGCGCTACAAAACCCAACGAATTAAAATGACAGAACCGATGATAAAAGAAGTAAAAAACTCAAAAGAACACCAAAAGCGATGAAATGAAATTTACTAAAAGTAACAAACCCATCTAAAATGCAGAATTCATAACTAAATATCAGCAACATCAAGAAATCAAAAAAAAATTTATAACACAGTA